ATCTAAATCCAGCCAAGCACTAGGAATGAATACTACTCAGGCCCACCCAAGAATGCACATAATCTCCTTTGTCTTGACCTTTAGTAAAACTTCCCGGGTTTTGCTGTATAAAATAAACACGCTGTATTGGCTCTGGGTCCCTGTCTCTCCAACAGAGGACAGTGGTCCCACCCAGCCCCAGCTTTTTCCTTCCATCTCTGTGTCTGTCTCTTTCTTTCATTTTCTCAATCCCTCAATCCCCAGCAGCCCCTACTCAGGAACCAGACCGCTCTCTAGCCTCGCTGGATGCAGAAAAAAGAAATATTTACACCTAAGAAACAGAGGCCATAATCCAACAGCCCACAAGGAAATGAGTCATGCCAACAATCACACAATTGAGCATGGCATCAGACCCACCATAGTAGAGCCTCAAAATGTCTGTACGGCCCTGGCCAGTTGCTCAGTGGTTAGAGCATCGGCCTGCAGACCGAAGATGTAGCAGGTGAGATTCCTGGTCAAGGTTTCCCAGCCCTGGTAGGGGTAGGTGCATGCGGGAGGCAGCCAATCCATGTGCCTCTCTCACGTCAATGTTTCTCTCTCTTTCCCCCCCCTCTTTTCCTCCCTTCCACTCTCTCTAGAAATCATATCCACGGATGAGGATTAAAAAACATGTTTGGAAAAGACCCTGAGCAGAAGACCAGCTAAGCTGTACCCAGATTTTGGACACTGTGAGGTAATAAATGTTCTGCCTGGCCAGTGTGGCTCAGTGGTTGAGCATTGACCCATGAACCAGGAGGTCATGGTTCAATTCCCAGTCAGGGCACATGCCTGTGTTGTGGGCTTGATCCCCAGTAGGGGGCATTCAGAAGGCAGCAAATCGATGATGTTTCTCATCAATGGATCTTTCTCTATCCCTCTCACTTCCTCCCTAAAAATTAATAAAAAATATCTATACTAATAAAAGGGTAATATGCTAATTAGACCAGATAGACTAGACGTCTTCTGGACCTCCTTCTGGACAAAGCCACGGTGGCGGGGGCCAAGGCAGAGGCGGTTAGGGGCAATCAGGCTGGCAGGCAGAGGGGGTTAGGGGCGATCAGGCTGGCAGGGAAGAGCAGTTAGAGGCATCAGGCAGGCAGAAGAGGTTAGGGGTGATCAGGCAGGCAGAGTGGTGAGGGGCGATCAGGCAGGCAGGCAGGTGAGGGGTTAGGAGCCAGCAGTCCTGGATTGTGAGAGGGATGTCTCCGATTGGAGAGGGTGCAGGCCAGGCTGAGGGACCCCCACCCCCCTGTGCACTAATTTTGTGCATCAGGCCTCTAGCATATCTACACTAATAAAAGAGAAACATGGTAATTGGCGTACAACCGCTACCCTTTTCATTGGCTAATCAGTGAGTATATGCAAATTAACTGTCAGCCAAGATGGCGGCCGGCAGCCAGGCACTGAAGCGAGCACAAGGCTTGCTTGCTGCAGACTCCAACGTTCCCCGCCT